GCTTTGACAAAAAAAGAATATATTCCGATGTAACACCAACATTTTGATTAGTAACGGTAACTACATATTTTTTCAGTAACTGATTACAGTTACATTTATTATTTACACTTGTACTTCATTAGTAACACTGGTTACAGATAAAGACTAATCCCTGAGTGCCTTATTTCACAGTGCTGGATGACAGTTTGTACTGTTACCCACATTCTGCACTGGGAGTCTTTGTTTTCAAAGCTTTTCTAAAAATGGAAGCTGTTGCCTTTTATAGACATAATTATTATAATTATTAATTATTTTTATCTGAATATAATTTATCTGCTTCTTGCAGTTAGAACACACTGAAGCTAACACTTTGTTTCTGATGTGCGTCAGCTTTATTTTGCAACAATCCATTATCACTTCATTCTTGTGTTATATTCCTTTCCTCCAAATCAATTTGAAGCAGAAGTTAATAGCATGTTGAATCAAAAACTGTCAAGTACAAAATGTTTTCTTTTAAAGTTTATTAAGATTCTTTGATTATCTACTTTCAGTCTGTTTAGTATGATATTTACCATTTTATTTTTCCTTTATTTGTTACTGCTGAGTTTTTAAAAATACCTATCAACACATTGCCAAAGTAACTATCCAAAAATGATTTCAAACTGAATAATATTTTGGTATATGGTTTGGTAGTAATACCTATTAAACTGAAAGGTGTCATTGTGCCAGTGGTTCTGATTATTTTGCAGGTAAAGAGTAAAGGTTGACATTCAGTAGTGGACTTTTCTTTTTTGTCTTCCCTATTTGTTCACAACTGCACCCAAAATTATCTTTATTCAAACTATACTTTAACACAAAGGTTTAAGAAAAATCTGTTAACAAATATTTATGATTTGCTAAATGTGCATATACAAACCTGTCAACTGGTTTCTTCAGCAGGGTACTTGTGTATCAAATGCTGATGGGAAATGTAGAGAAAGGGTCAAGGTTTTTACATGGTTAAAACCTGAATTCAGTAAAGGGAAGACAAACAGCTGAGACCTTAAAAACCACATAGCAAAGATGCCTCTTTTTCAACAAAAATGTGTACCACTGACATTTATTGGATCACAGAGATACTTGCTTTTTCTGAGAATATAACATATGTTCCACCACTTTCAGCACACAGTGCATGGAGTGAGCTGGATATTGTATGTGGAGGGCCTCAGGGTTCTGTTTTGGGACCTAAATTATTTATATTATACATTAATGATATATACAAGGTTTCTGATTTAGTGAAAGTGGTTTTGTTTGCTGATGACACTACCATATGGGCATCGGGTGAAAACCTACAGCAACTCTCTGGACGGGTTACACAGGAACTTGAGAAGATAAAGAAATGGTGTGATAGTAATATACTATCTCTGAATTTGGATAAAACTAAATTTATGGTATTTGGGAATCGTAGACTAGATAATGAACTTCAATTGAAAATTGGGGGAGCTAAAGATTGTGTATTTCCATAAGTAGGCGGCGGCCGCTCTGGCAGCAGCCATGCCAGGGGCTGGAGGGGCCAAATCTGAAGCCAGAGGCAACGGCCCTCTGCCTGGAGGAGGAGGGCTCATGGAGGAGATGAGTGCCCTGTTAGCAAGGAGGTAGCGACACATCATATATTACTCTTCGATTCAGTACGTCTCAAAATAGGCACTTGAGTCATATGAATGAATTTCAGATCTTGTTTCATATACTACAGAAAAGTGAAACTTGACACAGTTGCCATACAGTAGATTTAGCAAACCCCAATGTTGGTCGCAATGGATTTTGTTGTGCCACCTGAAGAATAAGTTCATGTACTCATCACTCTCACTATTCCTCAGTATTATGAGATGATATGTAGTAAAATCGTAATTTAAATGCACTTTGTTGCTGACAGAGAAGTATCACTGTAAGATCTAGAGAAATCTAAGGAATTTAGGTTTTAAAAATGTGGAGTTCAGGAGGAATTGTGTGGTCTGTGCTTTATGATATTAACATTAAACATGATGATATGTTTTTAAAAATAGCAACTGTTTTTCAGAAATAATTCTGGACTCTGTCTTACAGGAGAAGAATTGCAGAGAAGGGCTCATCACCTGAACCTGACCAGAGATCAGTAAGTACCATAAACCAATGATGGTAAGATGATGTCATGGGGTAGGACTGGATAAGTCTGACTTCTTCCTACTCCATTCAAGCATGTACTAGGTATAAGCAAATTGATATTGGATTAGCATTTGTTGGATATGTGTAAAATTACATGTTGACATATCAACTGTCTTTACATGCTTGAAAGAATAAGTCAAATCAAATCATTTCACCCTCATGCAGGAGTTATCTTTTCCAAACTGAAAGTTCATGGTTGTAGATATAACACCTGTTCAAATCAAGAAACAAAATGAAAATGTGACCTAAACAAATGTGACATAAAGAAGGGGCCATAGTTAAGATGCACATTCCTAGTGTCAATTCTAGTTCATTTAAAATGACCCTGAGCAGTAATCTTTGTAAACATTCCTACATTTGCTCCAAGCTAAAACAAAATGGAAGAAAGAAAAGCTTGTGCCTCCTTATCCACATGACATATTCTCCATCCTTACAAACTGTATAGTACAAAGGAGGAAATTCCTTTTATAGGCATGCTGGTGTTCTTGTTTACATACTGTATGTTTCTGTGCATATACAAGGGACAAACATGACACCACTGTTTACTGAATCATTAGATTCCTAAGATTGTTTTAATTTTTCACCATTATTTAGTATGATACTGACAGTAATAGAAATACACTTCATAAATAGTTATATGCTGTATTCAAGGAGTAAATTCAGATGCTCCAGCAATAGATATGTTGGGGGCTGACAGCTGTTCTGCTTATAGTTAAGGGGCAACCGACGTGCTAAGGAAAAGACAGAGAGCAACAGAGGTCGTTCTGAGCTAGACTCTGGATCAGTCTGCACCACTCAGCTCTCTTCTGGGTGATGTAGGCCGGGGTGATTATTTGTACAGGAAGGCGTGGTGAGCCCTCTGCCCTGGCCTTCTCACACAAGGCCTCAGCAATACAGATAACATACATGCCACAGTCGTAGCTGTTCTGTTGCGATGGGCAGGGCTCCTCCACAAACAGTGCTTTTCTCCCTGCACCCAGGAAAGGCTCTAGCTTGCTAGCAATGCGCCGTGCATGCAGTGAATTGCTGCCATTTTGAGAGTCATAGTGAGCAAAGTGGTTGGAGTTGTGATGGTAGAGCAAAAGGCTCCAGTGGGATCCCCCAGCCGTTTGGTTGGAGTTGTCATTAACAGCTAGAAAGACCCAGCGACGGGAAGAAAGATCCAGTGGCTCCAGAAATAGGGCTAACTCATCAGGGCAAGAAGCACACTTAATGAACTGGGTGACCTCTGGGCTGATGAAGATGATGGCCTCCCCCAGAACTCTGAAGCGACCAGCAGCAAAGTACTCGAAGGCAAAACCAATGACTTGGTCATTGAGCCAGTAAGGTCCTTCCAGTAAGGACACATCAGAGCGCCGCAACAGGCTGTCCCGGTAGCTCAACACTACAGGGTCCATCCTCCAACAGTGTCAGCCTGAAAAACAGAGAATGATTTTAGTGCTGACAGGTTTATTGATTAAATGATTAGTGAATCATTATCAACAATTTTGATGACTGACTTATCATTTATCAAGCAAAAAGACCAAACATTTCTTTTGGACTGCAGCAGTAAAATGTTCATGAGTAATGAGTGGTCATCTTTGTACTGAGTATTTTTACTTTTGATAAATGAAGCATCTTTTTCTAAATGAAGTACATTTTCTTGATAATGCTTGTATACTTTCACTTAAGTATACAAGTGCTCTAAATGCAGCACTTGTGAGTGTGGTACTTAGCACTTTCACTTGAGTGTCAGGTCTGGAAACTTCTTCTAGCACTGACTGGAGCTAACAGCATGATCTCGATTTAATTTCTTGGTGTGGATCGTTTCTCGCTAACACACATTACTAGGAAAGAGCTAATCGCATTCAATGTTACCTTTAAATATTTACAATGGCATTTGATTAGCTATAACTGACAAACTACAGGGGACCGGTGTTTGGTAAAGCCGCAGCGGAGAGCAAGAATACTGCAATGCGTTTAAATGACCGCTGAATCGGTCTTGCATTAGCATGAGCTTGCTAATCACCACTTTCACCATCATACGAAGCTAAACAACTCTGCTAAGCAATCATTTTAGCCTGTCAAACATAACGGTGCACTGTCGAATTAAAAACAGATGATGTTGTTTCAATGTCCATACCTGTAGAAAAACACATTCAAATATAAAGTATCGCGTAAACAGCAGCACTGCTCCCCATTGCAATAGCTAACGTAAACCGCTACAACATCAAGACCGTAAACATTTTGCGACAGTAGGAAGGAGAGAAGCTCGGCTGTGATTGGCTGGTTGCATCCGGGTAGCTGCGTAGTACATTTACTGAAGGGATAACCCTGTTTCAGTTGATTTCAGTACACTAGTCCTGGAAACTGTACAACTTTTCTATTATCAACAAATAAATTACTTTGTCATTCGTTTCAGATTTTATTTCATATATGTTTGGGTGCTAATGACTATACTACTTTGACCGCACTTTGACCATGCATCATAATTTATGAGCTCTCATGATTTCTATGTAAAATCCTAAATGGAAAGGTAACTAAATCTGTCAAATAAAAGTAGTGGAGCAAAAAGTTCAATATTTAGCTCTAAAATGCAGTAGAGTTATCAAGTAGCACTGAAAGAACTTATATCAACTTTGTACATAGTGAAGTACTTGAGTAAATGTACTCAATGATTACATTAATGTACTTACCATTTTACAAATAAGACAATAGACAATAACTGCCGCTGTCAGCAGGTTTATATAAACGGTGCGATTTGATTTAACCATCAAACGCTTGGCCTAAAAGCGCAGCCATGGACCCCCGGGGGACAACTTCACGCAGATCAGCCATGGATGTACTATTTCTTGTTAAGGGTACTTCCTGGTATTTCATTCTGTCCCCACCCTAGTGAAGTTGGCACCTCTTTTTCTCCCCGCCCAGCAGCAGCGTGAACGCGCACAGTTGTGCGCCTGAGAGTGGCCGCACTGATTATCAAAGCACAGAGGAGTTTTCAGTCACAGTCAGCGAGCTGCGAGAGACGGCTTCTTAATTACATTCAGACAGGTTTGGATACAAATGCGTAAGTTTTCAGCGCGGACTTGACTTTCGAGTAGTTGTTTGGAGGCGAGCGACGGGAGAGAAGGAAACAAATTAATTCAGTGAGAATGTCTGGAATTAAACTAGACCTGTAGGAATTTTGTGTGGCTACGAGCGCTGGAACCCACCTTGGGAAGAGACGAAAAACTTCAGTTCCACTCACAATTTACTTCAGAGTTCACGTCTGGAGGTAAGAGTGTGATGCTTAGTAGCCTGGTTAGACGCTGGCGTGGTGGGCTGCCCCGCAGTGGGAAGAGAGGCTTTGAGGCTGGAAGCAGCCAATGAATCCACGTCTGTGCAAGAATCTTGTTCCTTCAATATCTAGGCTACTCATTTTCAGCAACACAGTTTTGAATTGTTGCGCTTTTAACCGTGTTGTAGACAGTTCAAAGTCGGATATTAGGACATTTGGCGAGGGTAATCCTTTTGCGGGAGTCCATCCGTCTTCACCAGGTTTGTTGTGTAATATAGAATAAAGCTTTACTGATGCTGCACAGGTGTAGTTTTTACCCCACAGTCCGGTGTTGAAGCGTAGTGCGCGAGCTGACAGCGCATAAGGAAAAGACGAGGCTTCAAGGTGCCGTGCAGCTTGACCAACATGGCTAATCAGGTTTATTCCTACATGTTTCTTCATGTTGTTTTCCAGATACTGCAGACCAACTTCATGTTGGCCTCGGAGTCCACCCATTCTATGCAGTGGCCATGCAATAGGCCTAATGACTTAAAAGTGTCATAGCTTTTTTTATGTATTGAGTCCTCAGTTTATCTGAGACACTTCAAGCCATTTTTGTTTTCATCTTGGGCTACTCCTGTTAGAAGCACGACTGTCATTTTCATGCAATGTGGCCCCATTACCTACCATGGCCAGTTTTTCCCCATCAGTCTCCATACTTTTTGTTAGAGACATGTCAAGCTATTAAGTGTTTTCATGTGGGCTTCCTTCAACTACTTGCACAACTTCCAGTTTTTGATAAATATAATGCAGTGTGGCACAGGTAGCTATTATGAACAATTAGTGCATTTTTTTTTTTTGTTAAATAAAACCTTTATATCAACAGGGTTATTAAAGCGATTACATGCTACAAATATAAAGGAGTTAACCATGTTGCTGAGTTTCTTAATTTAATAATGGATAGTTTTAGGTAGTCATTGAGCCGTAGGGTGCTTGCTGCTTTATTTGTACATTTCTCTTTAGGAATATTGTATTTGTCCACTGTTTAATTTCAACTACTGGTGAACAGGTGCAGCATTCTGCTGTGTTCCTTTTTCAGTTGTTCTCATATGTGTAACCATATACCTCAGTCAGGGGTCATTGTTGTGATATAAATACAAATCTCAACGACAGACTAATTTTGTTTTGGGTACTTAAAACCAGTTTCCTATTCATTTGGGCCTTCACCCACTACATACACAATCTCTAATTTAAGATGGTAAAAATCCTTCAGTATGCCCCAGTGAAACGCTGCTGTTAAATCAGTCTTATTTTTGTCTCAGCCTCTTCACTTTGCATGCATAGGCTCTGTAGATTTTGAATAATATGTCAGAATATTGCATACAAACATCCTACTGGGCAGGATGTGTGTGTTATTTAGTAGTCAGACAGCGCAGCTTAGCTTGCAGCAGTGAAGGCAATGCAGACTGCAAAGCTGCTGTACAGGGAGGTCTAAGGGGGTGAAGAAGCTGCTGAATCATGGTTGTATGTCTCAGTTGTCATGGAGTTGACCTCATACAGGTTTTACAACAGTAGACAACCTGATTCTGTGCAGTATGTAGCTTTAGTAAAGCTGAAAGGATTTTGTTTTTATGTTGTGTAAATGGCACACTGGTATTCCCTCTGTCTTTCGTCTACAGAGTATGTGTGTGGTACTCAGTGGTGTAGTTGAAGTATCTGTTTTCCTTAGTGTTTGTGGGGTATTTTATGCCTTCATTATATAAGGGAATTTCTCATAAAATGAGGGGAGAAAGATTTGAGGAACCATGTGCAACAGAGGTTTCCACTCGGACTCAAAATAGGGGCAGTTCACTGTCAGTGCCCACACCCACAAGCCACCAGGGTGTCCCTAATCATCATCTTTCTTAAACCCCCATCACTGTATTTGTGTAAGTTATATAACTGAAAGATTTAGAATGGGATTCATGTGATGGTTTTCTTTACCAAAGGTTTTGCCTTGTTTTTTGTTTAATATCTGCAAAATAGTAAAATAAATTACTTTAATTCAAGTAGATGTGAGGTTTCCATACAAGCTCGTCCTACTCTGAGATCAGCACAGGTGATGAGAGCAAAGCGGGCCTGTCCTGCAGGAATGTGAGGTCTGAGAAGATACAGCTGCTGTAGCCGACTGAGACTCCAGCAACTGGTCCTAGTCGAGATCTGACACCACACAGGCCCTCTGTCTGTTATTTCTGAAAGACTGCATCACAACGGGATGTGTCTGTATTGAGCCACATCGTGGACATCGTCTGAATGATTGAGGCTCTGGATTAGATCAAGACGTTCTGCCTGTTGTCCTACTTTGAACACATGGGAGAAATTTAAGAAACCTTTGAGACATTTTGATGAATTTGTATGTCTTGAAATCACAAAACCTTTACATGCAAACCGTTTCATTTTTGCAGTTGCACAATCTTGGGTTCAGACATTGTTCTCTCAAAGAAACGGTCAATACCTTCAGGTTTTGTCGCCTTGTACATCAAGTCCTGAAACCCAGTTAAACCTTGGGTGTGGCGTCACGCTTGGCCAGTCTTTTTCTTTTTGCTCAACTCAAGTTCATACAGATTATGTTGCTCAGACTGTAACTGTGTCCACTGCCCGAACCTTCTGTTAATTAGTCACCAATAAGCACTGTGGCCATAATGTAAGCATAACTGAGATTTTGGAGTGTTCTCATAGTTTACATTTATTACATCTCAGGAAATTGTGCATAAAGGGAAACTTCAAAGCAATGATTATATAGAGGGAGAGACTTGCGTACGTTGAGTACAGCCCTGGGCCTCAGAAGACACTTCCCCTGTGCTTTCCCTGCATTTTAGATCATCTCAGGTATGATGAGAAACAGAGCAACCATCACAGCAGGTTTAAATCCTCCTGACATAAAATATCTATCAGCAGTACACTTTTAATACATGTAATCCGATATTCTTCTGACAATGAAATATGGTTTTAGAAAATAGTGCTGTGGCCTGCTGTCAAAATTACAATGAGGTAAAGAGACCTATCTCTGCTGGGCTGACTACAGCAGTATATCCTGATTCTACACAGTCACCAGAGTATCATTTTTATGCTCAAATAAGCCAGTGGACAAAACATCACTTTTTCATAGTTGTGGTTTCTGTAAAATGGTATCCTTGGTAAGAAGACTACAACAGGTACCTGGACCTGTGTATCAGAATTAATGTCACTGCTCTTCAGAAACACGGTGTTTGAAATGTACAGTTGTTCTCTTGGTACTAGATAATCTGTTGTGTGACTAGTGCTTCTCTGGCCATTGTGAGTTGTGTGTACTCTAATCTGAAAATGGACTGACCCATCATCACACCTCAACGTGCTACCTGTGGAACCCAGCTGCAGCTTGTGTTTGGGGGATATCACAAGTTATGTGCTGCATGCTCATGTGACTGGGGTGTCCTAAAAAGTGTTGTGGTCACATGATGGGATTGTGTGGTGTAACTGGCTGGCTTGCACATGAAGTCATTAAAGAGGAACCTGCTTGTGTTGCACTGAACAAAGCCCCCTTTTCTTTAGCAGGCCATTATATGAGGGAGGCTTTGGTCTCAAAGGCTCAGCTTCCCTGCGCTTTGCATTTCCACTCATTAACTCGCTGGTGCTAGCAGCTGGAGTGAGATGGAGAGATGAAAGTGCATTTGTGGTGTTCTTTGTAGTTTTGTTTATGTGAAGTGATCTTAAGTTGCTCTTTTTAACGAATCCCTTAAAATGCAAAACAGCCAGCAAGCAATACTTGATTGGGTTGGAGGCTACATTGTGTCCTTTTAAATTACATTCCATCCTTTAAGGTTTTGCTTTGTATCGAGAAACAAGTGTTTAAAACTGTTAAAGTTTAAACACTTGGAAAATCACTGAAAAGTTGAATGCCATACAAAGAAATGATGTGGTTGCATGATTCAAAAGGGCTGTGATTAAATGATGGAGTTAGTTATGGAAATGTGTCCTGTTTTGTCTTTTGCTGTAAGGAAGTGAATGGTTTGGGCAGCTGAAGAAGAATGTTTGACATTTTTAACATAGTGTGGTAATATAGCAGTGTTAAAGCACTCATTAAAGACCTAATTTTAAAATTACACACTAGTTAAGGTACAAACATATCATCAGCAACATACAGTTTTCAGTGGCAGAAGGCTCCAGATGTCAGCAGCCACATCCCTGCAGGGTTTTGGCAGCACAGCACTGGAAGCTAAAGTTGTGATTTTCAATTTTTGTGTTTTGTCACACAGCTGTGACAATAGCTACTGGCCCTCTGTGGCCTTATGGTGCAGGCTGGACAGGGCCCATGGTTAATTCCCAGGCATGCGCTGTATTGGTACACTGTCCATTAGCAAAGCAGCGATGCTATGAGACCACAGTCAAAATTGTGATTATCTTCAGCCTTCATATAAGAGCATTGGTTCCATTATGTGTGTCATAGCATCAGAAAATAGTAAAATATTAATGTGGATATTTATACACCAGCACTGTGTTTTGGTTTGTTTCCTAAGACCAACTGAGTGCTAAATATAATATTTAGACCTTAAGGGAACTATGAGGTGTATTGATCCTATTTCTGGGATACAGGCAAGTTGAGTGGACAGGAAGAAAGAGCTTAGAGTTCAGTCTTTGCAGTTCTCTGTGGCTCTTATCTGTGAAGAATTCTGGCACTTTACAGTAGTCTGTGCTCTGGTCAGAGTGAGGCGAGAGGGGATGAAGAGCGGAGATAGTCGTAGGTAACTGACAACAAACAGGCTCTGATAAGGTGGATTTCAAATGCTCACTAATAGTTTGAATGCTTCTTCTATCTAATCTATACTGTAGATATCAGTGAAGTAAATGAGCAGATGATGTGGGCTGCTTTGAGATCAAGTCTGGCCATTAGCTGTGGAATTACAGTCACAAGTGTAGCCTCTTAAGTCTGTTTGAAGTGGATATTTTTGTCATCTTTAAAAAAAGAGATGGAAAATATAGTTGTCTATTAGAGGTACAGG